CTATAATTCATAGCTGAAATTAATAATTCTTCATCTCGATTAATAATAATTGATAAAGATTTTTTATTTTTATTAAATGAATCAATATGTAAAGCATTTTCAATTTGTTGTAAATGATCACCAACATATGTTTCTAATTTACGATTTGTTCGTGCATATTTTATACTTACTTTATTAATCATTCGAACTAAAGATTTTTCTGGATCACTTACATTTGAAAGATAATTACGAAGATTTATCCAAAAATAATCATGTAATAATAAATTATTATGACAAAATAAATAAAGAAATTCACGTAATGCAGATTCACCGAAATTTATTTCAATTGATTTTAATGTACGTGCTATACGACGACCAATAAAAGCACCAATTTGAATATCACGACCAGATGATAAATACATATCAGAACAAGAATATAAAAATACATAAAATGGATTAAGTAAATGTTTATCTGATGATTGTTGATGACGAATAAATGATGCATAATGTGTAAATGAAGTAACAGAATTTGATTGAAAATCTTCATGAAAATCTCGACAATCATCAGTTAATTGAGCTACAAATGGTGTTATCCATAAATTCTCATTTTCTTCAGAAGTCAATTGAATTTTAGCCATATAGATTGTACATGTATATGAGAAGTGAGATTTAAGCATAGCACCTAGAATAATTTATCGATAATTAGATATGTTTTAAAATATGAAAATAATAATAGTTTCTCGATAAATCATAGACAAAACTATTAATAACTATTGTCGGATTTTTCTTTTAAAAATACTAATTACTATTTTTTGAATAACTTCCGATCGTTTATAGCTATTGAAGTCGGATCTTTGCCATTATATAGAGCCATATTGGAGGCGTCTATTTGTGTAACATTCATTAAGTTTGAAGAAGTTTTTCAAGAATATTTGCAATTGAACATTTAGTTTTTGTTATTCAATTCAACAACTATTCATAGCAACCTATGCTCGACGAGTGTTGTATTCCTTATATAGTTGTTCGATTTTTCATCCTCACACTTTAGACTCATGTTTCAAGAGAAATGTTCTGAAAACTGAAAATTTTATAGATAATACGACTTTGTTTGAGGCACATTTTTGTGTAATTTGATCCTAAGTTTCTACGAAAAGTTGTTGAAATGAACAACAACAAAAAAAATGTTCAGCTGAAAATATTCTTGAAAAATTTCTTCAAACTTAATAAATGTTACACAAATAGACGCCTTCAACATTGCTCTATCTAATAGCGAAAAGTCGACTTCGATAGCTATAAACGATCGGAAGTTATTCAAAAAATGGTGATTGACATTTTGAAAAATATCCAACAATAGTACATTTCTCCAATGAATAGACAGTTAATACTTTTAATTCTGTGAAGGAATTATTGTTTTCTTTGCATTTGACTATTTAGCTTCAATGTAGTATGATATAGAACTCTTACAATATACATAATAGCTCAAATTCATCTGTATATACTCAATATTCGATTGAATAACATTTATCGTATTGCTGAATTCTATATAATCATCTTAAATTTCCATCGATAAAAAGATTTAATAACTTCTTAGAAGGCAACTGTTGTAGTTCAATAGTTAGTTATGACTATCAGAAGAAGTATATTTGGGATCAATATTAAAGGCATGAACATAAGAAAATTTCTTATAGATTTACATATTTATTATCTATATTGAACACGAACTATTAAATCAAGAACTTTGATGAATATTTTCTTTTCTGTCTAAAAATTGTTCTCGATAGAGATAAAAATGATTGAAACTGTTTTTTTTTCCTTTCAATTTTATCCGAAGGATTACAAAATTCGATTGGACTGGAAACGTAAAAAGAAGTTTTAATGCTTCATTAGAAAATAAAATATTACCCAAGTAAAGTTCTTCATCATTATAGAAATTTTCCATTACTTTTTTATCCATTCTTTGTGATCTTAATAATAGAGCCAAGTCATTAAAAACTGCACGTGTTACATTAATACTTTTCGTTAATGCAATAAGACTATCAAATGTTTCTAATAATAATGGTGTTAATGGTGTTTTTGGTATTTCATTTCGATTGAATTCTCCTCCACGTAATAATTCTTCCATAATCAATGTCCATTTATCTAATATTTCAATTGGTTTTGATAAATTTTCATTTTCATTTGTTTCTGTTTTAAACAATTCTAAATGTTGTGAAGGAATTCTATCTGAATTTTGAATTTCATCTTGTAAACAATCAACAATACCATATGCAATACCAAAATAAAAACCTATTTGAAGTGCATAAAATAATTGTTCATTCATAAATGCTAAATCTAACATTTGATTATTATCAATAATTGTTTCAGCAAAACTAAATAAACGTGAAATACCAATACCAATTGTTGTACGTAATAAACGACCAAATGCTCCAACTTTTGTAAGTATAATTGGAAATGTTCGTACAGCATCATGCCATTTTTCTAATAACCATGTCCATTGATCAATATTTAATTTAGGTGAAAAGATATCATCATTATTTAATTTAATAATTGATGAATTTAATTTTGTTGAAGAAAGATTTCCAATAATAATTTTTATTATTGATTGAAGTTCTTCATTATTATCTGATGTTGTTTGTATCATCATAATAAGTTGTAAAATAGATTTACTAAATATATGAATAAGATATATAAATTGTTTATTTAAACGTGCTGTTGTTGGTAATGCATTTGATCCATAAGCTTTAGCAAAACGAGATATCATAAACTCATCAGCTGCATTATGTATATCACTTTCATATGCTTGCTTTATTTTATGAAGTATAGAAATTTTAGTTAAAAAATTTGTTGCATTTCTAAAATCTTCACTTCTTGGTGATGTTTTCATATGTTCAAAACCTTAAAGAAAAAAACAATATCTATTAAATTCATTTTCATTTTTTTTTATAGTTACCAAGATTAATCATTTCTTGAATTAATTCAAGATCAGGTATTGAACGTTTACGATAATTTTGTAACATAGGTGCTAAACATTCTTTTGCTTTATTTTCTGCTTGTTCATATGCATGATTTAAATCAAATGGTTGTTCACGAAGTTGTGCAATACAATTTGGAATAGTTGTATCAAATTCTGGTGTTAATGTTTCAATAATATGATTATAATATTTTTCTAAAATTTCATTGTCTGTAAATTCTTCATTGTTAATATTTGGAAATATTTGATGTGCACGTTTTAATTGTAATGAACACCATTGATTATTTGATGTTCGTATTTTTTGAAATAGAATATTTGATTTAACTGATACATCTGATTTATATTGAATAAGTTTACGTAATTGTAAAACATATTTATCAACATTAGTAAATAATTGATTTATAGATTCACATACAAAATCATCAGGTAAAGAATAAAGCTTTGATATATGTTTTGATTTATTAAGAAGATGTCGTTTTATATGTAATGAATGTGTTAATTGCCAAATGCGAGGTTTATTAGCATAAGTTTGAAGTTTAAAAAAAAGATATTGTTGAATAAGCTGACGTTGTTGAATTTCTTGTTCAGTTAAATTTTTAGATGATTGAATTCTTTCAGAGTCATTCGATATATTTATATGTGGATTTGAAAAATCTTGAGTCGATTTTCTATGATAATGTATACGATGATTATATAAATGTGAACATTTTTTTCTTTGGTCTTTAGAAAATGTATAAGAATTATTTATTTAATAAATCAAAATAAAATCATGACCTACTATTTTGTTTTTTTGACTGAGAATGTAATTGTTCATTAGAAAACATTTTTAGAAATCAAGATTTTTATAATATTTTTAAAAGAAAATGAATTAGTTGATGCTATTTTTTTTGTCAGTACGAATTATTCAAGCATAAAAAAAAAGACTAAAAATAAAAAATCGAAGATTAATATGATTAAATAAAGCTAAGTGATACGCCCTTGATTTCATATTTTTATCATGATTTTTATTTCTTATACACAATCATATTATATATTGCTCGTGAATCATATCAACGTCATTGAAGAGTTCGCTTTGACATCAACATGATTTCTATTCGTTTTACTATTATCAGACCATGTTTTTGATTGTATACATGATCCATACAAGTAAATAAACAGGTTCATATATCATGCTCTTTTTTTGTCATGAAAATCAATAATGTATTGACATATCAATACTAAATATGAGCTGTCAATCGTGACATCAAAAAATATTTCTTAGTCGTTTAGACATTGACGCAAAATATATATTCGATACGTTCAATATGTGACCAACTGAGTACCCTTTATCTGTATGAATTTCTAAATTATATAAGCAAATTTATTAAAAAATTATTTCTCTTATTATTTCCATGAACTCCTGAATCGAGATAATATGTCACTAATCAAATTGACATAGAAATTAGATCTACCAGAGTTGTAACTGGTAACGGTAAATGATTGGTTGACACAACTTATTTTTTTACCGACCGGCTCAGATTTCTTTTAGTTTTTGATTGTTTTTTTTTTGTCCAACAGAATCGATACTACTCAGTCAGACAAACAACAACAAAAAAAAATACGTACACCCACACCCTTCGAATTTTGACATGAAACTGTGCACATCCAAAGATCTTAACTATACTAATGTCGTTTCAGGACTTAAAGGTACTCCACTGTTTTTTGAATATCTCGACAACCGCATCAGCTAGCGATCTGTGGTTTCCACCAATCGAAAGAGGAGTCAGAGGAACATCTTTTACTCTGATAATACACAAGACGAAATCATTTTGAACACTATCATTCATGCAAATCTTTTGTGGGAACGCATAGAAAAAGTATGTTAATACAATGAATTTTTGATTTTCATATTCTCATTCGAAACATGTATTTACATGCGCAAATAATAGGAAATTTTGTTGATTTTTTTTGCTAAGTTTTCACATTTTTTATCATAATAGCTTGACATTTCAATGAAAAGTAAGAAAGTACATTATATATTGAATTATATATTTGAAGTCCCTCTATCAAATGAGAATATGTAAATCAAAAATTCATTGTATTGACATTCTGTTTCCATGTCTTTCTAGGAAAGATTCGCATGAATGACAGTATTCAAAATGATTTCATCTTATGTATTATCAGAGTAAAAGATGTCCCCTTGTCTCCTCTTTCGATTGGTGAAAACTGAAGATTGCTAACTGATGCGATTGTCGAGATATTCAAAAAACAATGGAGTACCTTTAAGTCCTGAACCGACATGAGTTAGTGTAAAAGTCAACGGTTACAAAATGTCAAATTTTGGAAAATAGAATACAGATTTTTGCAAGTATTGATACTCAAAGGGCTGCAATCGTGTGTCTTACCTATAGGGCACGAACTTCATCATGAAAACTTGCTTTATGTACATTAATACAGCATCATTTATAAAGTTAATTTCGACTTCTTATTTTCTTAAATGACAACTCAAAATCATCTACGAAACGCTAAATATATATATACATTTTTCTTTCATCTGTGAAAAATTCAGATCTTTCTCACAGGATTTAATACTTTTTGCTGCCTATTATATATATTTTTCTGAAAAGCAAAAAATAGGACATCCTGAGAAAAACAGTAAATTCTCTGTCTATTCCAATGACAGATTTTTTCGATTGTTGTTTATGTAACATTTCGATTAAAAAAAAAGTTAAAGAGATAGTGTGTGATGAACAAGAAATAAATTTTAGTTTAGAATTAATCTAATGACAGAACTGTCTATTTCAGTACGATATTGTTCTTGTTATTCATCGTGCACTACAACCGAATTCCTGTTGTAATTACAATTTGACTGTGTTGTATGCTTCTTTGATTTTGATTATCATTAGTCAGACGTTTGTTTTTTCTTCGCAACAGCTTTCACATCACTTTTTCCAATATTTGATGATGTCGTGTATGAAATTTCTGCAAATGTTCAGCATCATTGATTACAATTACATTGACCGATTGGTTTTTTTTCATCACGCTCTCAAGTGAAACGTTACCCATGGGCAACTGTAAAAGTGACACGTCGGATAATTCCTGTTGTCTTCTTGTACTGTTCAAAGACATATATTGGTTCTTTTTGAATTAACTAAAAGTTCATATAGTAAATGTTGAGTACCGAGTGAAACTGCGTATGAATTGATAGTACAGATCAACTTTCTTGTTTCTCAAGAAGATTTTTATCCTCTGTTACATAGTACATTCGTCGCCGTCGTCATAGTAGATAAGAGTATGTCAATTATCGTTAGTAGTATGGTATTTTTGATTTTCAATGAATAATCCTTGTACAAAATAGGTATACTATTGTCCTGATTATCTGATTTAGTATCCATAAATTGTATCAAACACTGATAAGAATGCAACAGAAAACAATTGAGCAGTTAACTTGGAAAGATTTGAGAGTGTGTCTTTTTCAATTTTTTTGGTATTTCAATGAAATACCTGGTGTAGACAAAAGCAATCTATTGAAATGATTACATTACTTTAAATAGATTGTTGAACAAAGATCCATCGAGAACTACAAGTACAACAACACATTTTAATTGCAACTTCATTCTAGAGTATTTTACTTTATATTTCGAGGAAAAAAGACGATTTAATCAAGATGAAGCCATGTTAAATTTGCTGGAAATATAATCAGAAACAGAAATCTTATTGCATCTCTCTCTCAAATTTCTCCAATAACCGCGACAAACATGCTGATATCCTTTTAGTCTACTGGCAAACTGTAACAGAGATCTCAGTATGTCTGTAGCGACCTAGCGGGTTTTCCGACATCCTGGTTTTTGGTTCCGCTATAATCTGTCGTATAGATGATGAGATTTTCTCAAAAGAGAAAAAGCGAAAATTCTCTTTTTCACCGTACTTTAAGGATATGTCAAAACTGTCTTTTATGACTTCTTAGCTATGTCAAGTCTAGTATCAACATGTATCACGAACATATTAGTTTGACATTAAAGACTAATTATTTCATCGTACTTCACTGATACTCAAAATCTTGAGATACAATGAAGTATTCGATCTTTAGTGTCAGACAGACTTATATAAAATGAACACAAATTAATATACTTGTGATACACGTGAATAGCATATTTGAAATAGGTAAAAAACTCTAGAAGATAGCTTTAACATAGGTTTTTCCATAGAAATAGTCATTCACACCAGTAAAAACGATTTGATATATGAAAAAAGAACATCTTTATGATCAATTTAAAAAAAAAGAAATTTGCAAAAACTCGAAAAAATCTATACCGACTGGTATAGCAAAAGTTGTCTCTGCCGGTTGTTTATCGTTACTGGTGGCAATACTGATGCACTTATTCAAATGTTATCAAAGTAGTGTATTTGATATTACCAGTTGAAGAGAATTAGAGCTATTACAATATAAACAAAAAGATGCACAATATATTGGTGAACAATATGAAATCACTTCAAGAAACACAACTTGTGATAAAAAATTAAGAGCTGAAAAGAAAAATTTTAATCCGACTATTTCTAATACAAGTTCAGCTATTGCAAATATTAATCAATGTATTTATAAATATGCTATGTTAGGACATATTCATAGGCGATCTTATGATGGTTTTCATATGATCACTAGAAGTAAACATGTTGTTTCTGATTTATGTAGTCTCAAGTCAGATAGACATTCCCTTTCGTACTTATAAATCATGATATGTTATCTATGATTATTGATCGTTTATTTCTGATAAAATTTTAACAGGAATATTTCTTCCTGTTTCAAATAGTAAGTAAGATTTACAAAGAATAAGTTTTATAAAAGTGCATTTTATCAAAAGATTTTTACAGATGCTCCTAAATATTTTCGTTTCGGCTAAATATATAATTGAAAGGAAAATAAATCATTAGACCACATGAGTACTATAACTGTTAAAAAAGAATCCGATCATTCTGATGTATTATATAACAGTTGTATATTAAATCGAGCTTAACTGTTCATTATCATATATATATGTATAAATATTTTCTTTCTTAATGTTTTCTATTAACAATATAATTAACAACATCTTTAATTGTTCCAGCATTTGATGGCCAACATTCATTAATTAAATTTAATGTTTTTTGACGAAATTCTTTTAAACGTTGTCGAGTACCTTCAATACCTAATATTGATACATAAGTTACTGTATTATTTTTTATATCAATTGCTATTGGTTTACCAATATTTTCTCCTTCAATATCTAATAAATCAT